GAATTATTGTGTGCATGTGTGCGTCATGGTGAGTTATGGCCTTATTAAACTAAAAAAAAATTAATCGGTTTAATTTAGTTCGATTCTATCATTATACATATATGTATACTAACGTTATCACAACCAACATTTTATTGTCAAAAGAAATGTATTCTTTTAGTTATCTTTAAGAATATCGCATTTTATTATGCTTTATGTTTTATATAATAACATTATTTACAAGGGATTGCGAATATTTAGCTTAATTATGGAATGGCCGGTTTGCATGTGAAATATCTTTTCGGTGATCACAAATTCTATATTTTATCAAACATTTAATTAATAACGATCGTAATTGATTAAGAGAAAATAACAACTTTTTCTTTGATATCTAATCACACAGCCCCAAATTAAAATATTACTATCGAGGGTTGATATCAGAAAGCCTTGGTATTTTGTATTATCGACATATCATGCATGTTCCATGTGAACAAAAAGTTTCCGAATGTTTTTGAAATTTTTTTTAGGTAAAACTGCATGCGCGATTATACAAGAACAAGCGCAACGGTATCCATTTCGATGTGCCTGAAAAAGATCGTGCAAATAGCGAGAATTTCCAAAACGTTTATTGTTTTGTCGCGGACGTTTTTTAACGTGACGCATAAATACTAGAATCACGCGGAAGAACCATTTTTGCGGAGAAATAAAATGTCAGCGGAAACATTATAGCCGCTTTCATAGAAATATGCTAAATAACATAGCTCGGGTGTTATTACACATACTGCTCTGCATAGTTTATTTCACAACATTATTTTCATATAATGTCTTCATTATCTTTCTTTGTCATATATTATAATATTTTTATTCTCCTACCCTGCGCGGTAATACAAGAAAAATTATTTAAGAGCTTTTAACTCTCAGAAGTACTAACATTGTTAATACTTTTTAATCAATTGGATATACAATTTTCTTTCAAGTACAAAATTCAAATAAATAGATTTATGAAGCTTTAAGTATGCAACTTGTGCAAAATATATTTTCGCTCTAAATTTTGTTTTTTATTGTTATCAATATATGTATGTAACTATCAGATGAAAATTATAGGTAGAGGACAATTCCCTATTGTGAGATAAGCTCCTAATATGAGATGCCTAAAAATGTCTGTTTTTTCATTCAAGACAGCTATTCAATCGAATCGTTGACAAAATGTCAACCGTAGGCTTTTAGTTATTCACACGTAAGAAAAATTATACAGATACAAAACCTCTAGATACAAATGTACTTTTATAACATTTTTCCTTAGATATGTTATTTCAATTTTTACTAGTATTGGTGCTCGCGTTTACAGCCGAACGATTCAATAGATATTCGGTTATTCCGACTCACAATTGCAGCCGTTGCAATTTCGCTTCAAATCGTTCGCACTAATACATCGAAATTTTCATCCACAATAATAGTAGCAAAGAATACGAAAAATGTGCGCGTTTCCGCGACCTGCGTTATCGGTTCATCTCAATTCTTTCAATTTTCTCCCTTTTCGTTTGAGTATCGATCCCCATCTGCATTTACGTGACTATCCTTATAAAAAAAATATATAACACTCATTTTCTTATACTGCAAAACTCAGTGCGCATACGCAGCGCGTTCACAGGATTGCGTATAAATAAATCGGCGCATCTATCGCGAATAAGACGTCATATTGATTCGAGGAGCGAAGCCGCGTCGGAAGCATTAGCTACCGGACATAAATTATGCACTATCAGTGGAGCCGATAAGTATTAGTTTAGTTTGAAATTTGTTAGCCGAGTCAGGCATTCGGGATACGGCTATCACGAGCGGGGAAAAAAAAGTACGGTGAAGTTAGATGAATCATGAATAAATTTACGCTCTGAACCTTTATTCCGAAATGATCCAAGTTTCTTTATAGTATACACTTCCATCGCTACGCATTAATACCAAAACTTTTATCGCGGTAGAACATAAATTATAGATACACGTAAATTAGGCGTGCCAACCCTTTTGCCCGAAATTTATAGTTCGCAATATTAAATATCGTCGGCGAAACGAATTGCTCGCCGTAGAATCTATCTGTTGACGAGGTACTTTTCTTACGTCACTTCGCAACGTGAGAAAATAATTCCTATTTTCGCGCGTTCGTCCAATCAACGCTGATCATTAAAGTGTTATTCGCTTACGACAATTTGGTAGAAATTAATTTTTCATCACACACATTATTCACAACAATTACCGGTCTATTTAATTAACGTTCAGGACAACAACCTTTATGACAAATTGTTTCAAAATAAGGATTGGAAATAGAACATCAACGATAAATCATCGTTGTAAATTTTTTTCCTTTCAATCAGGCAACGATAAGTGTGTTGTGACAAGACGTCGGATTCATCGAGCGTCTCGTCAGTCGAGTATACAAATTTTGCAAAAGTCGCGTCTTCGGCACAAGGAAAGCTCTCTTTGAAAGAGATCGAATCTTCTATTATCTCATCTTATCGTAGGCGGAAATAACACTCGTTCGTTCGAGCTGGCGCAGCACTCAAGCGACTAAACTTGCGACGCCAGCCGGGAGCGGCTGCAGACTCAATTAGCTCCGCGGAAAACTTTCATGGAGGGATTACGATGTCAACAACGTCTTTCTTGCGCGAATGACGTTCCGCGCGTCGGGCAAAATTGTTGTTTATCGAAATGGCAGTCTTCCAAGCGCGGCGTGCCGTCACGCTTTTGAAATCACGTCAAATGCTTGGCTATTTAACTCCAGCTTACTATATTCTGCCATAAGTCTATATCTTTATTTCAATTTTCATTATTCAGCTTTTGAAAACCAACTAGTTCTCGAACATATCAAAGCTTAAGACATTATTATGAAATAGATAAAAAATTGCAAAAATTTTGTTAAACATTGGCGATAAATCCATAGTCGCCACAAAAAGCCGCTGTGCTTCGTGGCGGACGTTCTGTATAAAAGCACAATAATAGATGCTGATAAGGGAAGCTAATTGACTAAAAATTAGATGAGACGATTTAGTGGGTTGTTTAGTACAATCGATGTATAATTGCAATATAAAAGTACAACGAAAGGGCCGGTCCCGTTTTATGTTAAAAAAAAAGATTGCAGCTTCGATAACCGCGATATTATACGGCATCGAACAACTTATCGTGCTATACTAGTCCGTATCGTTTATTATTAATCCTGAATATTGGCTCTGCCAAGAGCGTGTATGCAAATCAAAAGTGCAGATATCAATTTAACGCATGCCAAACTCGAAATGTTCAATAATAAGCAAGATTCTAGGGCAACTTACTACGTAAGAATGATGATTATTTCCAAATAGCGAGCGGTGATTAAAATCATAATTTAATTAGCAATTACGATAAAGCGCTCAGCCGTAATGGAGAGCGCGCATTTATTCATCCCGACTCCTTTCTTGATATTGGCGCAGTTATGCGTAACTATAATTTAATATTCTCTAATTGATTTTTAATTACGCACGATTGATTAACATATTGCGCATGTAGACAATACTGATACGAGGATATATCGTACATTCCGAGTATATCTTGTTATGATATGCAAATTTCTCTCATAACAATTTAATGTTGAATTTTACGTTCCCTTTTCAATTTACAGTAAATTGGTTTGCCGATGTAATGCTCGATATATCATTATCTTTTATTCAAATTTTTTACGCTCGCGATAAACGTAAACGAAGCTGTCAGCATTTCTATACTGAAAATATGCGCAAATGAATGCGAATGGAAAGAGTAGATTCAACGGTATCGTTCACATTTTCGCGGAGGTATCTCACATAAATCACAATTCGTCTGATTTCATTTATCGATATCACGTTATCGTAAATTGACAATTAATCTATTTGTTTCTATAAACACATTTATGCCATCTATATATGCGCATGTACTTTTAGAGAGAAAATTTATTTGGGAGAAAAAATTTGTCCCTTTCTCTATCTTTCTCTCTTTCATTCGCAAATAATTTATTGCGAAAATATTAATACCATTATTTCTCGAATTATACAGGAGATAAATTTTGGTACGGCCTGCAAAGAGATAATTTCCCACGAAAAAAGAAAGTCACAAATAAGCATCAATCTTCGTGATTGACTCTGTATAGCGTTTGAGAAATATAATTTTCATTATAAAATAGCGTGCATCTATTTATTTATATAATGCAAAAATAATCACTGGATAAAAAAATTTCGTTTTAGAAAGTGTATTCTAAGAAATAATCTTCCATTTACTCGCCATGAGAATCAAATCGGCTTCGTTTATCTCCGGCGAAAGATTATTGGAGAAAAAAAGACGATAATTTAACCGAAAAGGTTTTTTTCTCGAAAAGTAGCTAAACTGCATCGACCCGATATCGCGATATTGGCGAAGTTTCACAGCCTCTTTCCCGCTAGCTTCCATTACGGCTAAATCCTTCAAATCGGAATCGATCGTAGCGGTCGGTCGCGATACGGCGCGAGCCTTAAGGGCAAGCCGGAGCACGGTGACTTTTACGATTCTATTCTAGGCGGGGGCGTTATTGGCCGAGAGGCTGTTTCAGATCGATCTCCTCTCTCGCTGCGTTACGCCGCGCCGTCTCGGAAAGCCGCCACCAAGATTCTCCGTCGTTCGCGCTAACCCCCTTCTACTTTCTGCGGGTTCACCTGAGTGCCAATTTCTCGTAGTTTCGCGAGCTACCGAGATCAATATCGCTTTTGTGACTTCTGACCTGCTATCTTGAGAAGCACTCCGTACATATGTACATACATACGGTAGTTCCGTGGAACTAATTGGTGCGATAATCGCGGGGATTCGCGTAACGGTAAATCGTTGGCAACTTTTTCAATTTTATAGAAGGTACCGATGATTTTCGAAATAACCCCAGAGGAAAGTGAATGAAAGAGACGCGCGGCCGTTCTAAATCTCTCCATCTCCTCCAATTTAAATCATTCTCTGTCGAGCTCTGCAGATATTGGAAACGGTTATATTAGCGTTGTACTCACCTGGTCGGCGATCTCCGTTAGGTCGTGCAGACTTATGTTGTAAATGGCGTTCCTGCAAAACGAAACGGGAGCGTTAAATCCTGCCCATAAATCGTCCCTGTAATCTCTGCGCTTCGTGCGTCTCCGTGTCGACAACTCGGATTGAAGCGCGAATAAGCATCGGCAATTATGAGTGAAACAGCAAGAGTGACGCACAAAGAACGCGATATATTTAAAAGATAAATTGTGGGCTTTCCTTCGACGAATGTAAAAACTGTTTTCGGGTGACTTTTAAATTTTGCATGTGCGGGAGGAATGGAAGCACGGGAGATAAATCAAGCGGAAAAACTGCAAAGACAAAATTGGAACCGTAAAAAGATCCATGCTATGTATCTCGGGTGTAATTGATTTTACGACTCAGGAACGTTGCGCGGACTGTCGGCGGAGAGCACGACCGGGAAAAAATTAAATTATTTTTTGATCCGTATCAAATTTCCATTAGCCAATGTATTTGTATCAGATTCCGCAAAGAGATACGCTATTGATCCCCAGCCCATCGCTTTAGCAGCGTAACTGGAGCAGCTTGATAAAATAATATTAAATAGAAAAGTGTTTTTTTTTCGTACGTCTACGTGCGCAATTAAAATGGCGAAACGCCGCTCTTTGAAATACGAAATAAAATTTTGAATGCGAACTATCTTTCCCTTTGTGTCTCCTATCGATTCAATCGCTTGCGGATAACAAGATGTCTCAAACCCACTTTCCCTCTACGAGTTCTTTGACCAATTTGAAACAGACTTTTTTTTTAACGAGAAGGTCAAGAGAACGATATAGCATATCTAAATTATAAGCAACTAAAAATGAAGGTCTTTTTTTCAAAAGGAAACGTTAAAAGTAATAAAATGACATTCTGCATTTAACGTCGAGTAATCTTCAACGAAATTTTACTTGGAGACTTATTCAACGAGATGAATAATACAGAAAATTAAAAGGCCGGTAAAAAACAGTATTATCCCATTAAAGCTTCATTAAATTCAAACTGAAGGTTGTGCAAGAATTCATAGTCGGAGAGCGGTCTGGTTCAACTCGGTATGCCGCATGCTGTCTCTCGCCTTTGAATACAAATGAATAGTGCACGTTGCGCGTAAACCGCATCTCTGTTTGCTACTAATACGCGTGATGCTGCGTCACCCGCTGCTGATGCGTAATCGAATGAATGACTCGGCCCGCCGGCCACTTGGGGCTCGTGGCACCAATGAGCGGAGTCTAGCCGATGACTATCTCATTTATGTAAGCCCCTACGAGCGGCACGAGGGGACGACGAAGAATCGAATCACGTAACAATTACCTGGCACCAATCAGGATAGAGGTTGTCGCACGTTCTAGAAGCTTGAAGTGCTCCACGTGGCTTTCATTGCCCAGAAACCGCTGGCCAATCACCTCACCTGTAACAAACAGAGACATTTCGTTAGATCTTCGTAACAGAGAAATAATTGAAAAAAATTGTCAGAAAGATATGATATTCTTATATCTTCAAAATCATGATAACTTAACACGTAATTCACGGTTGTGATAAGCATTAGAGAAAAAAATTGACTAAACTATACATATAGTATGTTTCCTTATTTAAAATTGGTTGTGACTTATCTATGTAATGTAAACAAATATCTAACAGATGTGAATTAATAACGAGCAATGTTTTCCGTATGAGTATCGATTTCCAATAAAGTATTTACAGAAAAGATGTTCTCGTTGAACCGATCAATCACGCATCTGAATCATAATGCACGTCGGACTTGGCACATCAGGCTACGATCTTCCTATTACGTTCGCGATTAAACCACTCGTGTACACATTATTCGCACATGTATAACTTTACATACGCACATTTATATCAGTGATATGCGGATTATGCCGAAACTGTCGAGCTACATTTCGTAGACCTCTAGGTCAATTAAAATAATCTTTTTGTCTCATCAAATTCGTCATTCTCGTAGATTCTTATCAGCGTCAGACGTAACTCATTGTTGAAAATTGCAAGCCTGTTAAAATAATTCCATTCAGAATCGAGAATAAAGTTGAAGCTTCACTATTTGCATCTTTAAGCTTTATTTTCAGAGAAACTTGATTCTCGATCGCTTAAGCTAAAAAGCTACTCTAGCGTCTTTTTTTAATCCCTTTGTTCAGGTCGACTCCAAACTAATCAAATGATCCGGTAGAGTAGATAAAAGGTGGCTGAATAAGTCCGGGACACTCCGTGGAATCTACGACGGTATCTGCAGCGGGAACGTGATATAACGACAACGCATCGGCTGCATCTCGTCGACAGAAGAACTTGTTACGATAAGCGAAGGGGGTTAGAGATGAAGAGAGAGAGAGAGAGAGAATGTGTAGCAAGTGTATGCAGAGAAGATATCCAGGAAGCATGTGTAAAAGACTGAAAGGTAGAGCGTCTCTTAGCCTTTAGTCGACGATAAAGCGCCGCGCCTACTTTGTGGTAGCAGCAGCGGCGGCTCTTCACTCGATTCTCCACCCCCGTCTCTTTATCTCCCCCCCCCCCCCACTTTCTATCTCATTGCAGACTACCATCGACACTCCACACCGTTTCACGACCCTTTCTTCCTACGACCACCGTATCCGAACCCCTTCACGCACAGTCGACAGAGCGTTTCTTCCCCTACATATTCCGCGTTATGTTTTTTCACTTACGTATGCGACCGCATCACGGTATGTGCCGGGAACAGGGAAGATAAGAAGGACAAGAGAGTAGGAGCGCTCTACGAACTTTTGTGTATCGATATGATTTCAATGATTCTGCAAGAGTAAAAATTCTTTACAAAATCCTCTTCACGATTTTCTATTTAGAATTCCAGAGACATAAATCTTTGTGAATAAATTATCATGCAGTTTTTTCACCGACTGTTAGTACAGTTGTAATTGTCATCAAGTAAAAAAGATTAACTAAAATTACATTCTCTCTAAAACGTTATCGTACTTATGAAATTTTATTTTCGCAAGAAAATAAGTTATATACATAACTAAATAAATACGTATATACATATTCGCGATTTATTAATTTCTTATTGTTCTTTTTAATTAATTCATGGCGACAAAATATCTTTTTTGCAAAATGCAACCAGCAGACGTTAGAAATTAGCATAATGAAAATTCGATATGCATGAAACGCAAAATGTAATGGTATGTATTCATGAATGAGAAAGATGAAAGAGGTGGGATTCAAATGGCATTCGGAATCGCCATAGCAAAGGCTTAAAGTCCGTATCATCGAGTACGTGAGATCGCGTGGATGAGTTTTCCGATACGTTAATCGGGTCGGATAGCATTCTCGTTCGACACTGATCTGCTCTCTATATTCGTAAGAGCGGAAGCAGACTGTCGTTGAGATCTATAAGAGCTTAAGAATAATCCTACTTGCAATGCATATGACTGTCACCAGTAGAAGAAATAGCTATTTTTTTGCATAGCTTGGCACAATGCGTTTCACTTTACAATAGTAATAAAAAAAAATCACGAACAGTAAGCAGAGAAATTCCTCGAGTTCCAATCGGCTTTCTGCAACTCGATGGCTTAGCAGAATTTTCAGTCCTTTTAATAGTAGATCCCATGCCACGTTTCAGATCAAATTTATTGTTTTCGAAGGAAACAGATTTATATGTGCAGAAAAACGTCATCTTTCAATGAAAAATTACTTTACTCGTATTTTATGTGAGTATACTTGGATGTCGTCATCGCAATATATGTATAATATATCAAAAATTGTCTTTTCTAATGACACCTCTCTATAAATTAAATATTATTATATATTTATGTTGATGTTTATAATGCAAGGAAGATTAAATTTAGCAGCTAAATAGTGTTATAAAAATATACAATTATAATACGAAAAAGATATACTTATTTTTTTCTTATATTTCATTATTTATACATATGTACTTCTTGACTCTTCATTACAAACAAATTTTAATCTCACTTTTAATCTTCAAAATACAAATATATTTATTCTTTCATAGTAATATTTATATTAAAAATTACATTTGTATTATATACTACTCTTGCCTGACTTGCCACAACGGTTTACAAACAATTTTGTTTATTACTTTTTTCATTCCTGACGAAATTAACAAATAAATGATCTCATAATTCAGTCAAGAAACTTTTCAATATTCAACATTATTTTGCATTATTAATTCGCATGAATATCGTTACACTGATGAAACAAGAGTACTTTCTCTACTTGTGTTTGGTAGATTTTAAAGCGCGCTAACTCGCGTTACTTTTTCGTTTTTAGCGGTCAATTTGTATTAATTCCAATAGGATGCATTTTATGAATCAATTTTTCACAGAAATGCAGTACATATAAAGTATTTATACGCGCATATATGAAACAGTGAGTGGATTTATATTTGATTGAATTTTAGAGCGATCAGTCAACCAATAATTTCTTTGGAGTTCATTGAATTCAAAAGATTCTTTATTTCTTTTATCAAGAAGATAATTCTTGTATCATTAGAGATTTGTATTCAAAGGAGCGATCTCAGAACCGAGGAATCCAAATGGCTTTGTCAATCACAAACTGCGGCGTAGATAAGCAATTAACGACAAACGTTCGTAATAATTGTTGGTATACGCAAATATCATTCGGTTCATTTATACCCAAAAGATATTTGAATCTAGTTCACAATAATATATATATATATATACATATATATATACTTATTGTAAATTAGAGAAGAATCTGTAGTTTATTTCAGATTTCTAACAGGAATTTTCCATTCCTGTAAAATTCTGTTAAATCATTTATTGGAAATAGGTCTAGTATAAATAAACTTATTGAAAATGAAATATCTTTAAAGTTCAGAAAGATTAAATATCAAGAGATAATTTCATCGTGAACTAAATTCAAATATGGGTACAAATGAACTAAGTGATATTTGCGTATAGCATCAAATACGTCAGGCTTTTAATTCCTAAATTAACAATAAAGAATCTATAAACAATATATACAGCTTACATTAGTTTATACTTAAAATTTGTAATTTTTATAATTTATATGCATACATTCTTATATTTTTTTCTTTGGAAAAATAACGAAATGTAAATTAATTTTGTCTATAATTTAAGATAATCGATCTTATATGTATATATTTTCTCGTGTGTGTACGTTATGGTAGTAAAATCATCGAGTTTGATTTTACAACTAAATATGTGTATTACTTTACACTATATTTGATTAAAATCAGTGGACAATCACTATGAATGTTTGTCGTCAACTGTTTATTTACGCCGGGGTTTGTGGTTGACAAAGCCATCCGGATTTCTCGGTTCTAAGATTACTCCGTTGAATACAATTCTCTGAAGGTGATAAGACACAATATAATCCTACCCATCATTCAACCCTGATTATTATCAAGTAAAATCCAAGAAAGCATTCTAAACTCATTTGCAAGACGAACATATTTTCCTCCATGACGGTATACGTTACTTTAATTTCGACAGCGTTGTTCTTTACGTTCTCGCGATGCATATGGATGCACTTCCAAGCTACGATTGCACTTTGCCTACTACATACATATGCATAGATGTATGTACACGTATTGTAATTATGGTTTATAGCGGAGGGTGAGTTTGGCACGCGCCAGCTCTTACAACGTAATTTCTTATTCCCGAGCATCGTCACCGCCTCTCATCGGCACGCGACTGATGCAGATAAGGATCGATCCTCAAAAATATACAAGGTGTCCTAGGATCACCGGAAGCACTTTCAACTACTCGTAAATCAACTGTGCAAATCCTTAAAGACATATTACAATTCTTTCAACCTTGCTGTGAACCGATAGTGAGAGCTAACTTATATACGTAGTATATTTATACAGATCACGAAAATGAATTATATATAACAATCTTAACTTTCAATTGAATATTCAAAGTTCTCTCGGAAGTTTAAAATTTCACTATTTCATGATACAAATTTAGAATCAACCTTTCCTCATCGAATATGTCGAAAATAGTCAAGACCTATTTTCCAGTTCTCTCGATAATTATTGAAAAATTATAGATTCCTTGGGAAAAGTTAGTACGATTTATATGGTCAGTAGCACAGTTTGTTAGTTTTGCAACACCCTATGTACCGTGTACAGATAGTATGAAGACCCGACCGTGGCATGGATAAACGAAATTGACTCCTCGACGAGTCGAGTCGTTTTCGAAACGTATATTGATATCGGCTCGCGGCTTACGAATCTCGGCCCGCATTGACTCGAATCAATTTCCTTGGCTGGTCGATGCTTATCGACAACTCTGCTTCCTCTATCAATGTTTGGTCGGTGATCGATCGGGCTACGTTCCGATTTCGTTTAATTTTCATCACGTGACAGTGGATCCCTCTCTCTCTCTCTCTCCCTGTTGCTAAAAGCAGGACACGCGA